AATACTTTCTGGACATGTTTTAGCTCCCTGTTTATTTCTCCGTTTTACACTAAGGATAATGTATTATTATCTTCTTTAAGCAATTAAAATATTTTGAAGATAATTCAGCTAATCATCTTTAAACTCCTCATTTTCAAGCTAACTAGGTAAAAATTCTATTACTTTTTTTTGAACTTTCTTTCTAAGGCTGGCCTTGTCATACATGTAAAATCTGAATGGTGGGTGTCGACGTTGACTCAAGGGCGTGGTTTAGTGATGAACAAGCACGTGCTTCTCACTAAGGTTAGCTGACAAAGGGCTATTTGTAGCCAGACTTCCAGCGGTAGAATAAAGGCATGCACAGCCCTGATTCCGAACACAAAGGTTTTGTGCTGACTTTGGAATCCCAAAGTATGTTCTCTTTATGAGGCCTAAATGCAGCAACAGAAGTCCAATTTTATTTTATTTTTCAGTAGAGACGGGGTTTCATCATGTTGGTCAGGCTGGTCTCAAACTCCTGGCCTCAAGTTATCTGCCCCATCTTGGCCTCCCAAAGTGCTGGGATTACAGGCATTAGCCCCATACCTGGCCAGAAGTCTAATTTTAGAACACTTGGTTCCATTTCCAGCTTAAAAGGAAGAGCTTCCATGTGTTACATTGGCTACTTCTTAACCTTGCCTTGGTGTTTTTGAAGGATTTAAAATTTAAACCAAAATGTTGCTTGACTTATTATTATTATTATTATTATTATTTTTTGAGACAGAGTGTCACTCTGTCACCCAGGCTGACATGCAATGGCACCATCACAGTTCACTGCAGGCTTGACCTTTCCAGGTTCAGGTGACCCTCCTATCTCAGTCTTCCGAGTACCTGGGACTACAGGTGCACACCACCATGCCTGGGTGATGTTTGAGGGTTTTCTAAAGATGGGGGCGGGTCTTGCCATGTGGCTCAGGCTGGTCTCGAACTCCTGGCCTCAAGGCATCCACCCGCCTCAGTCTCCTAAAGTGCTGGGATTACAAATATGAGCCACTGTGCCCAGCGTTGACTTATTTTTAATCTGTGATGATAGACTATCAGCCATCTCAAATCCTTTATGAAGTTTGACATAGGGCATAGGTGATATTATAATGCTCAAACTAGTAGACAGCAGTGTAGGCCACAGGATCGTTTATGCCTGACGAACTCCTGCTTTGGCGGATCAGGGTACTTTTGTTCTATCAGGCCCTTCCTTGAAGCCAATGCCTGGCCGTCATCTCTGTGTGGCTTGGTGTCGATGACCTTTTTGCTGCACACACACTGTGCTGGACCTAGTCCATTTGATTTCTGACTATGTTGCTGTGATGATTAATTTTAGGCATCAACTTTTGTTCTCTGAGGGATGCTCAGCTAGCTGTTGGGACATTGTTACTGGGTGTGCCCCTGCGAGGGGCTTTCTGGAAGAGACTGGCCTTTGCATTGGTGACGGGAGGAAGGCAGACTCACCCTCAGCAATGCGGGTTGGCATGATTCAGTCAGTACACGGCCTGAAGTAGAACAAAATGACAGAGGAAAGGTGAGCTGCTCTCCTGGAGCTGGGACATCCATCTTCTCCTGCCCTTGGACACCAGAACTTCAGGTTCTCAGGAGAGAGAAACTTCGTATCTGGAACTGACACTAGTAACCTCCGAGATTATCAGGCCCTTGACCTTGGACTGAGAGTTACACTGTGGACTCCCTGGTTCTCAGCATTTGGAAACAGCTGGAATTACAACACCAGCTTCCCTCTTTCTCCAGCTCATGCATAGGACCTTTCAGCCTCCATAATAACTTCAGTCAGTTCCCATAATACATTTTTATCTATCTATCTATCTATCTATCTATCTATCTATCTATCTATCTATATCTATCTATCATCTATCTCAGCTCTATGTGTCTATTATCTCTATCTATCTAATCTATCTCCATCATGTAACTATCATGTATCTATACCAATCATCATCATCATATCTATCATCCGTCACATCTATCAATTTTCCATCTATCCATCATCTATCTATTATTTTTCTTTTTTCTTTTTCTTTTTTATTTGAGACAGCATCGCCCTCTGTCGCCCAGGCTGGAGTGCAGTGGTGCAATTCTGGCTCACTACAGCTTTCACCTTCCAGGTTCAAGCAATCTTCCTGTCTCAGCCTCCCGAGTAGCTGGGATTGCAGGTGTGTGCCACTGCACCTGGCTAATTTTGTATTTTTAGTAGAGAAGGGGTTTCACCATGTTGGCCAGATTGGTCTCAAACTCCTAGTCTCCAGTGATTCCCCCGGACTTGGCCTCCCAAACATATAACATGACATATATAATGTTATATATAACATATATGTAACATATATAACATATATATGTTATACTTATCTCATAATATATATTTTATAAATTATATAATATATAATACATTATATATTATAAATTTTTATATAATAAAATATATTATCTAATATATATAATATATAATATATTATATATTATAATATATATATTATATAAATATATTTTATTTATATAGTAATTCATATATTACATAAATATATTTTATTTATATAGTAATTCATATATTACATAAATATATTTTATTTATATAGTAATTCATATATTACATAAATATATTTTATTTATGTAATAATACTTGAATACATCATATGCAAATATATATTTTATGTAATAGTTTACAATAATAACATATAATACATTATATATTTTTGATATATGCATAATATAATTATAACAATACATTTAGTTATTCATTTACTGATTCATTTATTTGTTTACTTATTTATGATTATTTTTTGAGATGGAGACTCACTGTATTTCCCAACCTGGTCTGGAACACCTGGCCTCAAGTTGTCCTCCTGCCTTGGCCTCGCAAAGTGTTGGGATTATAGGCATGTGCCACTTTGATGAACTAAAAATATGATTATTTTAATATAATAAATAATATAATACAATTAATTAATATATTTAATTAACATAATATAATTAATTGTAATATAATCTATATAGTGTGTGTATATTATATGTGTGTGTGTGTGTGTGTGTGTGTGTGTGTGTATATATATAAAACTCATAATGTTCATCTTTTGAGTGATGCAGTCCCAGCACTTCCAGCATGGTCCTTCATTTTATTCTGCTGTTTCTGGTCACAGTTGAGAATGCAGTCTCTGCCTCCGTCTCCACGTGGCCTTCTCCTCTGTGTCTGTGTCCCCTCTTCTGTGTCTTAGAAGAAACCTGTGATTGCATTTACGGCCCATCCTAATCTAGGATGATCTCATTTCAAGAGCCTTCTCCTAATTATACCTGCAAAGACTGTGTTTCAAAATACAAGGTCCCATTTACAGGTTTGGAGCAGTAGGACATGAACGTGTTTTGGGGTTAGCATTGAACTCTTTATACTTGTATCCAGTTTCCTGCGGAGGCTCTCGGGAGGCCCCTTCCTGCCTCTCCCAGCTCCTGGGGGCTCCAGCTTCCCTGGGCTTGTGGCCGCATCACTCTGGTCTCTGCCTCCATCTCCACATTGCCTCCTCCTCTCTATCTGTGTCCTATCCTCTTTTTACAAGGACAGCAGTCACCCTAAATCCAAGATGATCTCATCTCAAGATCCTTAAGTAATTATATCTGCAAAAACCCTATTTCCGAACAAGATCACAGTCCCAGGTTCTGGGAGGACATGAATTTTTGTGTGGTCACTCTCTGACTCACCACATCCTCTCCATTTCTGGTACAAAACATTTTTTTTCAAGCTGACTCTCTCTTTAGAAAAGAGTCATTTTTATTTTTTCTGTACCCACAGCACTAAACACAGTGCCTAATCTGGAGTTTGACTTTATTAAATGTGTGTTGATCAGTTAAATGTAGTTCAGTTTACAACTACAATTCAAAAATGAACTTAAAGTGAATTTATTTAGAATTGCATGGTATCATTTTTGCTACTTTGAGGCGATTGATAGTTTTTGTCTGTTTCATCTCTTAGAGACTAGAAGCAATGACACCTCAGTACTGAAGAGTTCACCTGCTGTCCAGGTCTTGGTTTCTTTTTTTTTTTTTTTTTTTTTTTTTTTTTTTTTTAATTTTTTATTGGATTATAGGTTTTGGGGTACATGAGCAGAGCATGCAAGACAGTTGCGTAGGTACACACATGGCAGTGTGCTTTGCTTTTCTTCTCCCCTTCACCCACATTTGGCATTTCTCCCCAGGCTATCCCTCCCCACCTCCCCCTCCCACTGGCCCTCCCCTTTTCCCCCCAATAGACCCCACTGTTTAGTACTCCCCTTTCTGTGTCCATGTGTTCTCATTTTTCATCACCCACCTATGAGTGAGAATATGCGGTGTTTCATTTTCTGTTCTTGTGTCAGTTTGCTGAGGATGATGTTTTCCAGACAGGTCTTGGTTTCTAATTATTACTTCCCACAGAAAGGAACCATGGCTCCTTAGAGAAATGCCTAATATTATAGATAATACCTTTATCTATGAGATATAGGACTATACAGATAGGACTGAGGCAGGGAAGGCCCGAGATGAGTCTTGGATACGCTTTTGTTCCCAAAGTTAAGAAACTGCTCAAATGTATGATCAAGACATTGAAAGGACACATGAGACACCTTGAAAGGGCTTTCAACACCCGAATATGGGACAAGTTGAGGAACAGAATAACTAAGGACAATTATGCCTATTGAATACAGTAAGAGCCCCCAAGTCCATACTAATCATACAGTGATCAATCCCTACACAAACATATAAGTAAATGTGAAGACTCTTCCTTGTAGAAAAAAATGTAGAAAAATGACATAGAAGTGAAAATCACTATTTTGCATTTATCACGGTCAGAGTTGATTATGGCAAGGTTCATCAAGGGATGCTAAAATCTGGAGATGAGCGCAGTTTGATGAGGAACAGGGCAGTTGCCAAGGCTCAAGGTATTTTGCACAAGTTAATTGTGTAATGAAATGTGTAAGTATGCAGGGAGAAATGGGACAATGCCTTAACCAAGTGACTAAAGTTTGTGTAACTGATGTAGAGAAGATGGACAACAGGTGCCTCCATATGTGAATGATACCTAGGCAAGAACTCAGCCTATCTTGTGTGTCTTCCAGCCCAGATTTCAGAACCAAAGCTCATCACAAGGAAGCAACCTGCAAACCCAACATTTTCTAAGATAGAGTGGATAGAGTTTTGAAAGAAGGTGAACATTCTGCATGTCAAGGTGAGGCTGAGGTGCTGTATCAGATTAAGGAAGAATAAAGACCTGTGATCACTGAATGCAGTCTTTGGCTCTGGATTGCATCCTGTGGCCAGAACAAACAAAAAGACGAAAAAGCTACAGAACACATGATTTGGGCAATGGGTGAAATCAAAATATGGGTTGTACAGAGATAAAATATTGTACGAATATTCAATTTCTTGAATTTGGTAATTTTCTTTTTTTGTTGATCTTTAATAGGTGTACATATTTTTTTAGGAAACATGTGATGGTTTGGATTCTGTGTACAATGTGTAAGATCAAATCAGGATAATTGGAGTTTTCATCATCTCAAGTATTTGCCACTTTTTGTGTTGGAAACATTACAATTCTTCTCTTTCAGCTATTTTGAAATATGCAATAAATTACCCTGAATCATAATTTACCTACTGTAGTATTTTTTTGCATTGTCCTTATGCTGGTAAAGCACCTACTGTACTATTGAATACTAGAACTTATTAATTTTTTACTGTACTTTTTCTAACTATAATTTTCCTGTGTTTAGAAGAGTATCCTTGTTCTGCGGAAATAAACATTGAATTCTTAATATATTACAGGTCTTGATATATACAGTCTACTGTCATACAGTTCAGAACACTTATGTGTGTGAATCATATAACTATATTTAGATATATGCACGTATGTATGTCATACAATTGCATATACAATCAGATAAAGCAACTACTCTGGCCAAATGTGAAAAATTGGCGACTCTAGGTATAAAGTGTATAGCAATTCTTTGCGACTTTTACATTTCTGAACTTATGTCACAATTTAAAAGTTCAAAAAAGTTTTTTTAAACTTTTTATTATTTTAATTAACATTAAAAATATATATAATTGAGATGGAGGTCTCACCATGTTGCTCAGGCTGGTTTTGAACTCCTGGGTTGAAGCAATCCACCTGCCTTGGCCTCCTGAAATGCTGGGATTAGAGGCATGAGCCAGCACACCCACCCTCAAAAAAATTTTGAAAACATTTTAAACAGTGTTGAAAATGTTTTAAAACATTGAAATAAATTTATCATAAGGTAGATGCTTCAGCTTAGTGGCTAACAGTCTTTTTTGTAAAGTGTCAGATAGTAAACTTTTTGGGCTTTGTGGGACACACTGTTTTGTCACAACTACTTAACTTTGATGTTGTACCATGAAAATAGCCATAGATTATAAACAAAAAAATGTGCATTGTTGTGTGCTAATAAAATATTATGTAGGGACACTGGAAGTTGAATTTCACACAGTTTGTACATGCATGAAACATTATTCTTCTTTTGGATTTTTAAAACCATTTCAGGCCAGGCAACGTGGCTCACACCTGTAATCCCAATACTTTGGGAGATCCAGTCAGCAAGATCACTTCAGCCCAGGAATTTGAGACCAGCCTGGGAACATGGTAAAACCCCATCTCTATTAAAATAAAAATACAAAACATTCGCTGGGCATGGTAGTGCATCTGTGGTCCTAGCTACTCAGGAGGCTGAGGTGAAAGGATTGCTTGAGCCAGGGAAGCTGAGGTTTCAGTAAGCTATGAACATGCCACTGCACTCCAGGCTGGGCAACAGAGCAAGACCCTGTTTGAAAAAAAAAACACCCAAAAACGTTTGAAATGTAAGTCTTTTCTTAGCTCTTGGGCCTTGTTAAAAATAAGCCATGGACTATATTTTCCTTTACAGGTAGATACATAGGTAGGTAGATAGATAAAATAGAATAGATAGACGATAGATAGAATAGCTAGCTAGATGATAGATCAATAAGTGGAATAGATAGATAAAAAGATAGATAAATGATAGATAGATATAAAATAGCTAGATAGTTGATAAATATATAGATAGCTGGATGGACTAGATAGATGATAGATAAATGGAATAGCTAGATAGATGATAGAATAGATAGATACATTGATAGATGATAGATGAAATAGACAGATAGATGGAATAGATAGATCAATAAATTGAAAGGTAATAGGTTGATAGATGGATAGACAACAGATAGACAGAGTTTACTGACCCTTAATTTTGAGGCTTTCAAAGATGAAAGGAAAAGATTTGGAATAATTTTTATTTACCAAATTTTAAAAACTCTGCTTGTTTTATTATTATTTTGGCTAGGGATGGGGATGATGGTCTTATAGGACGTTTAGTAAGCTGGATTTTTTTGTGGTAACTCTACCCACTCACTCTCTAATCTTACGCATGGAACCGATGACTTTTTCCTTTATCTTAAGAGCTATCTCCTAATGAAATCACTGGCCTTGCAGCTTTGCATTGGCCAGTTACAACTGTCTTTCATTTGCAGCATGTGAAACTCATAAATGTCAAAACCTCCTTTGCTTCCTCAATGTGTAACTAGTAGTACACACATGAATAATAAAATCGTCCATTATTCCAAGCGACCTTTGAATCACACTGCTCCTTGGACTCCTTGTTGCCTCTTGGAAATGGAATTTCTATTTTTACCAGGAAAATCATGTACGTGATGCTCCTGTGTGTGACTTGGAGACTTCTGTTTTGTTTTTTTTTTTTTTTTTTTTTTGAGATGGAGTCTTACTCTGTTGCCTAGGCTAGAGTTCAGTGGTACAATCTTGGTTCACTTCAACCTCCGTCTCCCAGGTTCAAGTGATTCTTCTGCCTCAGCCTCCTGAGTAGCTGGGACTACAGGTGCCTGCCACCATGCCCAGCCCACTTTTTGTATTTTTAGTAGAGATGGGTTTTCACCATATTGGCCAGGCTGATCTCAAACTCTTGACTTAGGTGATTCAACCACCTCGGCCTTCCAAACTGCTGGGATTACAGGCGTGAGCCACTGTGTCCTGCCCTAGACTTCTGTTTTAATAATGTATGATGACCATCACATGTGACCACAGTTGGAGTCAAAGGGGATAACACAAATGCTTGCAGAGAAATGAATTACAGACAGGCAATCCTTCTTAGTTGGTCATGGGCTTTCCCTCTGCCTTGCATGGAGGTGCACTAACTGACAATACTCTCACAGGCTTGAGGAGTCTTGTAATCCACTTACAATCTGTGCAAGATCCTGCAGAGCCAATGTGTCCTATTTCTCTACATTTTAAATTTTTAATAAAAAGGCGTTTGATGGTTTAAAACAATGAATTGCATTGGCGTCATTTCCCAAAGCTGAAAATGCACAGTGCATTGCCTCGTGGCCTTGCTTCTGTAACTGAATCTGTCTCAAAACAAACAGAGCTGAGCGGTATCCACTGTTACTACAACTGAGCCGGTTTCTCTTTACAGGTGCACGCTGATTGTTTATTTCCCCCTCTCAAAATATTTCTTTATCTCTGTTATTTTTCAAAAATATATACAGAAAAGAATCAGTGGAGAATTGAACTTCAAAAGAACAAACAAGGTAGATCTGAGTTTTTCTGGTGTCTGCCATCCTGTAGGTGCTGGAGGAGGATTGTGGTCACAAGTGGTGTCACGCTGGTATTCTCTGAGGTTGTTTGGCACAGAGTGTAGGGCACCATTTCTTCTTTAATGCATTTGTCAAAATTGCATCCAATTCTTTCACCAATGCAGCCAATAATCCGACCCTTTCTTTCCCCTTCTTATTTAGATCTACTTTAAATACTTTTCTGAATAAATAGATTGATGGAAAAATTCACAGCAGGAGATGGATATTTAAACGTGGAACAGAGAGATGCAGGGATGCAGGTAATTCTATATGAATTTATGGCAACACTTAACTTAATCGTCTAGAAGATTAAATGCATGTACATGATTTGAAAGTATTATTTTGAAACTTAAGGCACTCATCTCTATCAGTTAAATTTTCCTCCCTCCATCCCTCCCTGCCTCCTTCCCTTCCTCCCTCCCTCCTTCCCTTTTCTCTTTCTTTCTTTCTTTCTTTCTTTCTTTCTTTCTTTCTTTCTTTCTTTCTTTCTTTCTTTCTTTCTTTTTCTTTCTTTCTTTCTTGGCAGGGTCTCACTGCCATCTAGGCTGGAGTGCAGTGGTGCGATCACAACTCACTGCAGCCTTGAACTCCCAGGCTCAAAAGATCCTCTCCACTCAGCTTCCTGAGTAGCTGGGACTGCAGGTGCACACCATGACATCCAGCTAATTTTTTGTAGAGATGGGGTCTCAATATGTTGCCCAGGCTGGTTTTAAACTCTTGAGCTCAAGCAATCTGCCCACCTCAGCCTCCCAAAGTGCTAGGATTACAGGTGTGAGCCATGGCACCCAGCCTCCGTAGGTAAATTTGCAACATGAAAATACATACTCAATTATAGACAACTATTCTTTATGTTAATGAAGAGAAATGGAGCTGCAGATGTTACTGCATGGTTAATTAAGCATTATTTTGATTTTATCTTTATTATTTATTAATACTTCAATGATTTGTTCCTCATGGAATATTTTCCCTTTAATTAATTTCATTTTATAAGTAATGTATTTTTTTTTATCCTCTGAGGAAACAGCCATTAATTAGACAAGAGAGGGGCATAGGTATCCTACACCTGGAAATGTGAAGTGGAAATTGTTTGGCGATAAAAAAAATAGCTGTTTGTTTAAAAAATTATTTTATTTTCCCAGTTTTCATAGAGACAGGGTCTTTTGATGTTGCTCAGGCTGGTCTCGAACTCCTGGCTTCAAGCAATCCTCCCACCTTAGCCTCCCAAAGCACTGAGATTACAGGCATGAGTCACAAAGAATAGCTGTTTCTTTGTGAACTGCTCAGTAAAAAACAGGTTCAATTCAAAATATGAAGTTCTTCTTCTTGAAGGAAATTCAAGATATTAAGCTGTATGTTTATGGTGTCTTCCCATGAAACAATGAACAGGGAAACAAACAAAGTATTTGAAATAAAAATGTATTTTCAACTCTTCATGTATTCCTTAGCTCTTGAGGGGCAAAGACTACTTTGTGATTGGAGTAGAAGAATTTCCCTTTCCTCGTGACTTCTCTAGTTTTCTAAGGCAGAAGTAACTCCCAGTGGTTAAATTACCTCTGAAGAGGAATTTTGTTGTGGTTTCCTGGAAGGGGTTGGTCACAGAAAACTCCAGCAGCACATGTCATACATACGACCAGAGCAATGAATACAAAGGCTATAGACATCAGCCCATGCCCTTAATAAGGTGCATTGATTGGACAAGAAAAATATTGGCACAAGAAATGTCTAGCTGCACTTGGGGAGAGGTTGATGGTCATAGCTAGTGTCTGTGAAATGCTTTAACTATTACCAGACACTGGCACTCACTTCCTGGTTCATCCTGACCACACACATGTGTGGTGGCTGTGCCTGGATCCGATTTACAGATGAGGCATCTGAGTTAAGGAAGGTTGTGTTAGACGCCCAGGAACATACAGATGAACACAAAGAGGAGTGAAGTCAGGTCCTTGGATTCCTTGTCCGACCAAGTGTTAAGACAAAGATAAGAAATTTGGAATGGTTTTAGGGACACTAAAAACCACTCTCCTCATGTTTAGACTATTTTAATGTTACTGCCAACAAAGTGGCTTTACAGCTGGCCTTCTTCGAACTACTCTTTCTCTTTCCTCTCTCCCTTCTGTCCTACTCTCTCTCCCTCCTCCTTTCTTTTTCTTCTCTTTCCTTATTTCCTTCCTTCATTTTCCTCTCCTTCCTTCCTTCTTTCTTTTCCTTTCTTTCTTATTTCTTTCTTTCTCTTCCATCTTCCTTCCCTCCCTTTCTTCCTCCTTCTCTCCCTTCCTCCTTTCTTTCTTTCTCTCTTTCCTTCTTTCTTTTTCTTTTTCCATCCCGTTTTCTTTCCTCTTTCCTCTTTTTTTCTTTCCTTCTTTTTCCTCCCTTCCCCTCTCTTTCCTTCCACCATTTCTTTCTTTTTCCTTCCTTCCTTCTTCCCTCCCTCCCTTGCTCCCTCCTTTTGTTCTTTTTTCTCCTTTCTTTCCTTCTTTCTTCCTTCCCCTCTCTTTCTGCTCTTCCTTCCTTTCTTCCTCTTCTTTCTTTCCTTTCTTCCTTCCTCTCTCCCTTCCTTCCTCCCTCCTCCCCTCCTTCCTTTCTTCCTTCCTCCCTGCTTCCCTCCCTCCCTTCTTTCCTTAGTTCCCTCCTTTCTTCCTGTTAAATAACAGCTTTATTGAAATTTAATCATCATACCATAAAATTCACCTTTTAAAGTGTACTGTTAAGTGGTTTTTAGTGTATTCAGAGTCGTGCATTCATCACCTCTATCTAATATTAGAATATTTCCATCACTTCCTAAATAAATTTCTTACCTGTTAGCAAAGAAGATATTTGTTTATGGGATGTCAGGAGGGGGGTCCTCCCAAGTGGTGGGAATGATGAGAGTGAAGGACTCTGCAGTGAGCACCCCTAGGATGCTTTGGAAACAGGAGAGAGAGTGTGTGTAGGGTGCACAGTGATGATTCAGGCATCCTAAACTTTAGATTTTGAGGATAATTAAATCGCATCAGGGAGAATGAACAATGTCTCCTGTGTAAAGGTCTAACATCCACTGGAAGGCCAAGTGTTGTGGCTTACACTTGTAATCCCAGTGCTTTGGGAGGCCAAGGCAGGAGGATTGCTTGAGACCAGCAGTTCAAGACCACACTGGGCAACATAACCAGACCCCATTTCTACAAAAAATTAAAAACCTTAGTTGGATGTGGTGGCATGTGTCTTCAGTCCCAGCTATTTGGGAAGCTGAGGTGGGAGGATCACTTTAGCCCAGGAGTACAAGGCTGCAGTGAGCACCATTTAGATCTTAATTCTGCCTGGCAAGCAGGTAGGCTGCCAACTTAGAGGAGAGCATTGCCAGGGGATGTGGTACTACTTTCAGAATAGGATTAAAACAGAAAAATGCAGTGCAGCAAAATTTGGCTACACTTGCTCCCAGAGTGGAAATGTTTATGCCTTCACGTAGCAACACGGAACCACAGTGCCATAAAACACAGGGCTTGATTCACACATTCTGCACAGAGTGTGAGAGTGTTTATCACAATTAGACTGATCACTGGGGAACGAGTGAGGAATTGCGTGGGATGCTGTAAAAACCATTCGCATCCTGCCCGCATCGGGAAGCAGTGTCAACAATGTGAATGCTTCGGAGACCTTGCTGGATGCATTTTGTGGTACTGAGTGTAATCCCTTGAACATGGGGTACATCTGACATGAAAATCTGGATGCTACCTCCCTGCAGAAGGATGCATTACCATTCGGCAAATGTGGTTGTTTTCCCTGCACCCCCACCCCTTATTTTTCATCTTCCTAGCTGAGGAAGCATTTCTTCTCTTTTCCCTTACTTATTTCAATTCCAAATCATGTCAACGAGTGCAGGCCAAATGGAAACAATGAAAAGGTCAGTGGAAGAAGTAAGAATACAAAGGAATATAAAGATGAACTGCTGCCTGGGGATTGAAGTTTGTTCTTATAGAGCTAGTGTTCTCTGTCCTACAGCCATTTGAAAGAAAAACACCCCTTATCACTTGCCAGTTGGCTAAGGGGGGTTTTCTTTCTGTGGGTTCCCTTGAGAATATTATCAGTGGGTAGAAAATAAACACAAAGGGAAAAACACTTCTTGTTTTGTTGTTGCATTTTGAGTCAGGGTCTTACTCTGTCACCCAGGCTGGGTGCAGTGGTGCAATCATGGCTTACTGCAACCCCAACCCCCTTGGCTGAAGTGATCCTCCCATCTTAGCCTCTTGAGTAGCTGGGATTACAGGTATGCACCATTATGCCTGGCTATTTTTTTTTCTTTTTGTAGAGACAGGGGCCCAGGCTGATCTTGAACTCCTGGCTTCATGCGATCCTTCCCCCTTGGCCTCAAGTTGCTGAGATTATAGACATGAGCCACTGCATCTGCCAGAAAAAACATTTCCTAAAATAGACTCATGAAGCACCTTGGCTACTGTTTCTGCTGAAAGAAAGTTGTGAGCCAAAGCTCTGATCTGTATTTGTGAGAGAGATGGTGGTAGCAACTGAGGGCATTGTTGTTGATGTGACCTGCAGAAAGAAGATGCCTCTTTGAGTAAGGGATTTGCTGATAGTTCATGAGTAATGTAGGTATCAACCAGGATTGATACCATGGAGCTGTCCACAGTCCTACTCTCCATCCACTGTAGAAACCCCACCCAGGGGCTCCAAAACATTTCTAGGATAGGAGAGATGGCATGAGGGATTCTACCTGTAAGCCCACAGATGAACTGGCATTTGGGAGAACTCACATCTTCCTTCTATCCCAAGATACTAAAATGGAATAAGATAGTTTTCTCCCACAAGTGCAACACAGCATGATGAAAGACACAAATGCCCTATTAGTTGGGGAAAGTTGGAAAGATTTTACAAAGTACAGAAAGCTTGGAACAGGTGTAGAAGTATCAGAAGATGACTAGAATTTTGACTGATAAAAAAGTAGATATATTTTTGGCAACGTAAGAAATACATGAAGTTAGTATCTGTTAAATTATACCGACGTTTCAGAAAATGGCATAAATATATAGTAAAATTAGTAGAACATCTTTAGTTCACATTTTTTCTTTTCTTAAAATATCAGCAATGTTATTGAATATTTACTGTTGATTGGACATGCTATGAGTATTTCTAAAACGCATTAATTCCTTCTTTCATTATTTTGTCATATGTATTTGTGTTCTTTTTAAAACTATTTTTAACTGTTTTTCATTTTGAAATCACTTTAGATTTACAAAAAAAGTTACAAAATGGCACAGAAAATTCTAGTATT